TCATGAACATTGACACAAAAATCCTCAACACAATTCTAGCCTATAGAATTCAGCAACATATCCAAAAAATAATTCACCATGACCAAGTGGGATTTATACCAGGTATGCAGGGATGGTTCAACATTAGAAAAACAGTCAATGTAATCCATCACATAAATAAAACAAAAGACAAGAACCACATGATCTTATCAACCAATGCAGAAAAGGCATTTGACAAAGCCCAACACCCATTCAAGGTAACAACTCTCAAAAAAACAGGAATAGAGGGGAAATTACTCAATAAAATTATGAGCATTTATACAAAGCCAACAGCCATCATCATCCTAAATGGAGAGATTTTGAAAGCATTCCCCTTGAGAACAGAACCAGAAAAGGATGCCCTTTATCACCACTCTTATTCAGCATTGTGCTGGAGGCCCTAGACACAGAAGTTAGTCTAGAAAAAGAAGTAAAGGCATCCAGATTGGTAGGGAAGAAGTCAAAGTATCTCTGTTTGCAGATGATATGATCTTATACACTGAAAACCACGAAGAATCCACAAGAAAACTACTGGAACTAATAGAAGATTTCAGCAAAGTTTCAGGATACAAGATAAACACACAAAAATCAGTTGGATTCTTTTACACCAACAAAGAGAACCTCGAAGAGGAAATCACCAAATCAATACCATTTACAATAGCACCTAAGAAGATAAAATACTTAGGAATAAATCTAACCAGAGACGTAAAAGATCTATACAATGAAAACTCCAAGACACTACTGCAAGAAACCAAAAGAGACCTGCCTAAGTGGAAAAATATACCGTGCTCATAGATAGGTAGACTCAACATTGTGAAAATGTCAATTCTACCCAAAATGATCTACAGTACAATGCAATCCCAGTCCAAATTCCACCAGCATTTTTTAATGAGATGGAGAAACAAATCACCAACTTCATATGCAAAGGGAAGAGGCCCCGAATAAGTAAAGCATTATTCAAGAAAAAGAACAAAGTGAGAGGCCTCACACTACCTGATTTTAGAAACTATTATACAGCCATGGTAGTCAAAACAGCCTACTACTGGTACAACAACAGATACATAGAC